ATAAAAAGCAAAATAGAAGAGAAAAAAAATAAATTGAATGCTATAACTTTTCTTATGCAAGTACATACTGGGAATGATGTCACTGTAATGCCAGTAAATTTCTGTGAACGAATGGGCAAACCCAAATTGAAAAAAAATGTTGGCTTAAACTAAGACAGTTCGATGGCTCTTTCATCAAAACGTTAGCTTGTTTTGAAGGAACTTTTGTGACCGACACACGCTTCGAAATTATTCCCATCACGATACAGAAATATGAAAAAAGTCATGGAGTCGTGGGAATAGATGCTTTGAAAGCGGATACAACCAAATTAATTAACAGTGTAAAATTTGAAAGTAACGACAGAGGTATATGTCAAAAGGATACAAAGCGAGCATTCAATTAAAAAATAGTCAACCCTCTTACTTTGAGTCTCGCAGAAATACTCATCCACATGTTACCTTAAGTAGTTGCTAAACTGAAAACAATGGTTGAGCAAGGAATTTTAGAGCATGTTCCCTCTGGTTGTAGTAATTGGGCTTCACCCATTGTTGTTTTACGAAAACCGGATGGAGATTTAAAGATATGTGGGGATTACAAAATATTTATAAGCCTCAATATATACTCTGATTCCTTTCTTATTCCTAACATTGAAACTGATGTTCACGAGTTGTCAGGTATTAAATGCTTTGCTAAAATAGATATTAAATCTGCTAAGAAGCAGATACAAATTAATGAAAATTTGAAAGAGGTCACTATGATTAACTGTCAGGCTTACTCAGATGGAAGCGTATGTCTTATGGTGTAAAAAACAGCAAGAGCTATTTTTCAAAGAGCCATTAAAAACAAACTGGTGATATTAAGATAATGGTCATCTATCAAGAGATATGTATTTGGTGCTACAAGTAGAGAAGAACTAAAATTAAATAATGTTGGAATGACCATAAACAAAGATAAAAGTGTGTTAAATTGCAACACAAGAACATATCTGGGATACCAGATTTCCAAAGACACAATTTCACCAGACACAATTTGATAAAGAAAATAGCATAGGTATCTATATATCTTACAAAAAAAAATTTTTACCCTAAAAAGGGAGTGACTTTAACTATGGATACAAGTATGCATGCCATCTCAATGATTTTGTCTGAAGAAGGTCATCCTATAATATACCCTTCTAGAAGCTGAAGCTAAATATTCAGATATTGAAAAAGAAGAATTAGTTATCGTATGGAGCACAGATAGAGCTTGCTAATTTTTATTAGGCAAGAAGCTACTGCTTAAATCTGACCATAAAGCTTTAGAGTTTATTTTTGACTCCAAGAAGGAGTTACCTAAAGTTACATCTAGAATTTTAAGATGGGTCATAAAGTTCATGGACTTTGACATCAAATATGTGAAAAGAAACACTATTTCACATGTAGATGCCCTATCAAAACTGAAGTTCAATAATGAACCATTAGAAAGATCAGACAATTCAGAAAACGAAATAATGCACTGGATTGAAACTGATGTATTACCCTTAGATCGTCTTGCATTTAAAACCTTACAGATCTGGTATTAAGCAATATTGCATGTAGAATAAAAACAAATGGAGTGATTATTCTAGGGAAGAGAGATCCTATAAAGAGGTAAGGCATAAGTTAACTTTAAAGAAGTGTGTTAAATTGCGCCACAAGAACATATCTGGGATACCAGATTTCCAAAGACGGAATTTCACCAGACACAAATTTAATTAAAAAATAGCAGAGGTATCTACACCTACAAATAAAAAAAAATTGAAATCTTTTTTTAGGGTTAAATAATTTTTATAGCAGATATTTGCCAAAGTATAGTGAATTGATAGAAGCCTTTCAGTATCTTACAGAATCTTATGTACATTATTTATTGAATCTGAGATGAAAGGGATAAAGACGTTGGTTAGATGCATACATTAAAGAGTTTTCAAAACCTGGTTAAGGCACAACTTTCATTAACAGGACTGATAACTGAGATCCATTAGACATCTTTGTCACCCCATATTTAAAGGGTTCAAACATTTTGAAGAAGGCAGGAGCGTACAGTATCTGAAACGTTGTATAAATTGGCTGAGATGAGGACAATATCCGAATAATGTAAATTATTTATGAAAAAAGAACAACGAATTTAAATATCTCATTCAGCATTTGAAAGTTTGAAGAAATAACTCATTCAAAAAATTTGTCGCCAAAAAAAAGTGACTTTAATTACGGATGCAATGTCCTCAAGAACATCCTATAATGTGGATAAAAAGCTCCCCACTGACGTTGGTTAGATTTAGGTCTTGTCAGGACCCAAACTTTATCCACTGTGAGTTCAAAATTACCTGGTTAAGACATCCATTAGACAGTGGAAGAACTCTTCAGTGGGAAATAAACAGGAGATAACTGAAAGAAGGCCAAGCTAAACGTCCGAAACATCCATATGGCGGCAAAGATGAGGACAATAGTCCGAATAATATAAATAAGAATGGTGCAGATGATGAAAATGGTGTTGAAGGCATGTTTCTCACCCAGTGACACCATAGATAGTTACCCACTGGGGTTCAGTTATAAACATTCCACAACCAATTGAATGAAAGTCGCTCTTCATTGATTGGAAGACAAATTAGATCGCCTAAAACGATGTCCTATTCGACGAATGAAAAATATGGTAAAAAAAAAGACAGAAAATCCAGTCCTGAAAAAGGTAATTTTAAATAAAGAGGCACGTACGGTTAAATAACAAGAGGACATTTATGGCCCATTCTGATCAAATTAGACCTAGAATTGACGTCAATGAAATCAAGATGGAAGAGGAGGAGGAGGAGGATGATCCTGAAAGGGACGAAAACATGAGTGCTTCTGGTGGAGAAAAAGGAATATATTAGTAAAAATCGATGGAACAAAAAATTCGAATTTAAATATCTTCAGGCCTAGAGCCCGAATAAAGAATAACAAGCATTTGAAAGAAGATTCGTAAGTTCGGAAAGTAACTCATTGTGGAAAAAATCCGTTGTCAAAAAAAAAACTGCTCTCTATTAATCACCACAAAGAATCATAAAGAATGTCTGACGCTCAACTCCAGTGACTTTTGCGAATTGTCCGCTGACCTGAGATGGAACGAAGACACTGGGCGTGCAAAAGTTGGTTACCTGTGCCGCGCCAGGAGATTTTTTCTCGTCGGAGTCGATTTTCTATCAAGAACCATCCCCTTGCATAATGTATTGCTGCCATATATGGTCTGGAGCCCCTTCCGTCTCAAGAAAGATCCAGAGATCTGGCATCTTGTCTGTAGTCCCTCACAGACGTGCCCTCCTCCGTCTTTTTACAAATACTTTCATGGTAACTGCTCCGATGAGCTGCTTTCGCTTGTTCCCAGGCTTCATGAATTCAAGCATTCTTTAGGCTGGCATCTTTTCACTGCCGAAAACTGTTAAATCCGCCTTCTACTCCAATAGCTTCATGTTTCGCACTCCTCCCTCCCCATTTCTTGTTTTCCTGATAGCTCTAATCTCCAACTATTCAAATGTAATGTCAATCGACGTCTCCAGATACCCTGATCTATCCCCTATACTTCTCTTCATCCTTTTCTCTATCACTTCTATTTGCTCTCGCTCCAACTCTCTGTAACCCTTTGCGTGCTACTGGCTTCCCGCCTTGCTTGGGGTGAAACGCTTAAATAAATAAATAAATAAATAAAAATAAAAAAAAACTTTCGTTTCCAGGAGGTGCAGTACTAGAGGCAAAATAGACTTGTCCCATTTTAAAATTGAGTGACTAGTCAGTCGTCACTCGCCACAGCGTGGTGGGGGCGGCTTATACGTCACAGACTAGAAAACATCACAACACTAATCTTGTTAAATATATTTCATAGAATGTCTTCCTCAAATTAAAACCCACGCGTAGTTGCAGATATCTAACATTTATCTCATTTCACTGTGTATAAGACCGCGCCCCGATATATTAAAACCCCCCCACCCAAATTTTAAAGGAAGAATTCGGAAAAATATTTTTCCTTGTGCTTCATAGAACTGCCCACTATATTCCCAATTTGACCCACAGAATACCATATTTTCAGTCTGAAGACCAGACTAATCATGACAAATTCCTCACAGAAGAAATACCAAATTTATGGTAACTATTTAGAATTATTTACATTATTTAAATACTTTGGAATGTTTTCTTCATCTTTAATGTCACATAAACGGCCCTTGTACGCACCGGTCTTGTTACATGGATAAAAAAAAGCGTTGGTTGGATCCAATGGCTTGACCCAAAGAGTTGTAAGTTCAATACCTGCCAACGGCAGTGGTGAACAAAAAAAAAAAAAAAAAAAACATGGAGAGCCCAGATGAGGGGAGATGACTGAGACACTCGAAAGAAGTATGGCACTTCGAACTACAAGCAGTTTTCCCCGGTGGGCGAAATGAAGGGTTCAGTTCGAAAGTCCAATCCCTTGAAGAAGGCTGGATCTTACAATAGCCGAAACGTCGTGAACATAATAATAAAAATGAGGACAACAGTCCAATGTAAATAATGCGAATAATTGCAATGCCTCATCTGAGAAAAATAGACAAATATTAAGAATTTAAGAATTAAAAGAGAAAATGTGTCATCGACTTTGGATTTATAGGACGTAGAATGCGTTTTTGGAGTTTATAGGAAAAAAGAAATGTGTCGTGTAAGCAGCAAAATATGGTAATTATTGATGGAATGAAATGCCCTTTTTTTACCAAAAAGCCAGGAACAAACAAAAGCAAGCAGAAAAAGAAATTTATCATGGGTGCAATTAAAACAACTTCTTTCGTGACATATTTAGATAGATAGATAGATAGATATGAACAGGTATACATTTTCGATTGCGTGTATGTGGTTGGCTCTGTGTGTGTGTGTGTGTGTGTGTGTGTGTGTGTGTGTGTGTGTGTGTGTGTGTGTGTGTGTGTGTGTGTGTGTGTGTGTGCGAAAATATGGTTAAAATATTTGTTTCTTAAACTTGTGTCTATTATTTTGCCAGTCGATAACAATCAGATAGATAGATAGATAGATAATGAAGAGAACGAGATAGATAGATAGATAGATAGATAGATAGATAGATAGATAGATAGATAGATAGATAGATACTGAAAAGTCAGGATTCCATAGATAGATAGATAGATAGATAGATAGATAGATACTGAAAAGTCAGGATTCCATAGATAGATAGATAGATAGATAGATAGATAGATAGATAGATACTGAAAAGTCAGGATTCCATAGATAGATAGATAGATAGATAGATAGATAGATAGATATGAACAGACTGAGAAAGAAAGAAAGAAAGAAAGAAAGAAAGAAAAAAAGAAAGAAAGAAAAAGAAAAAGAAAAAGAAATTTATCTTGAATGCAATTAAAATAACTTCTTTCATGAACGACCAAAGTTACCAAAATGTGATAAGACGTCCATTTTTATTTTTATTTTATTTTTTTTTACTTTTACTCTCCTTGAATCTGTCCCAAACAGTCGTGGAATCGACTTTGTTAGTTTTTTTTTTTTTTTTTTTATTCTCCTATTCTGGTTTGTAAAAGTAATTTCCTTTGTTAAACCTTAAAGTTGCTGCCAAACAATGGAAATATACACTGGTTTTTCCGTTTTCTACTTGTCTTCTTTTCTACACATCGACATCTACGTTCTTTTTCCAACCGACATTTGCTTTTTCCCCCGTTTTGGCTCGTTCTACTTTCCTAAGAGAAATACGCGACACTATTTCTGACTTGACCTTTTCTTACTGAAAAATTATAGACACATGTAGGTGTATATACATACATACATACCTACATACATTTGTGTGCGTGGTTGTAAGCAATCATCTTATCACGTATCTATTTCCGTTTCTGTGCATATGTTTGGATGTGTGCGTGTGCGTGTGCGTCTGTGTGAAAATATGGTTAAATATTTCTTTCTTACATTCATGTCTATTATTTTGCTAGTAGATAACAAACAGAAATATAGATAGATAGATAGATAGATAGATAGATAGATAGATAGATAGATAGATAGATAGATAGATAGATATGAACAGACAGATAGATTGATATGAACAGACTGAGATAGATAGATATGAACAGACGTAGTTAGATAGATAGATAGATAGATAGATAGATAGATAGATAGATATGAACAAACAGATAGATTGATATGAACAGACTGAGATAGATAGATAGATAGATAGATAGATAGATAGATAGATAGATAGATATATGAACAGACAGATAGATTGATATGAACAGACTGAGATAGATAGATAGATAGATAGATAGATAGATAGATAGATAGATAGATAGATAGATATGAACAGAAGTAGTAAGATAGATAGATAGATAGATAGATAGATAGATAGATTCTATTTTTAGTGGGTAAATGTGTTTGAGTTGCTATCCCTGTTTATTTATGTATTTATTCAACTTTAGTTAATAACAACCAGACTAAACTAAGAACCTTTTCTTCCATCAGAGAAACTACTTTTTTTTTAGACAAAGTGTGCCTTTACCTGTTCGGCCACGTAGCCAGCCTGACAGAGCAAGACAATTACCTATTTAAAGAAAACACGTTCTATTCGTTAGGACTTCTACGATAAACAGCTAGCTTCTGTTTCATACCCGGAACTTAAACAACAGTAAGTTTGTTTGTTTTTCTTTTTTTTGAGGGGGTGGTCGTTTGTTAAATCTTATTGGTATAGATGTCAGAATTAGAGAGTGACCCTTGATTCTGGTAAAGAGTAAACATTTTAATAAAAGTAAATTGATCATATGGATTACCACTGAGTCTTCTTTTTTTTTCTTTTTTTTTTTTTTTTTTTGAGGTGGGGGTGAGTTTACGAATTAAACAACTGTATTCCGTTTTAGTTTATTTTTTCAATAATGTAGAAACGGTTTGTTGCTTCCAGAGAACGTTTGGATTCTGGGACTGCTTCCTGTTGCGTTCTTCGATTTTAGGGACTATCATTAGCGTAGTTTATTTTGATCATGGACTTCTTTCTTTTTTTTTCTGTCTCTATCGTTTCACTCACATGAAAAATTCCTTCAAGTAGGGGCAGGTGGTCTAATTAACATCCTTTCTGTAGAATTTACGGTTGGTAAGTGATTTGGGATTGTCTTGAGAGAAGATCTTTTATTGGTAACTCGTTTTCCTCATTTAGATTTCATTTATTTTCTTATCTTCGAATAGTTTTTTTTTTTTAGTTTTTGATAGTTTAATGACAAAAATACACTGGTGCAGGCTTTAAGAAAGATTTATTCAACTCAGTGTCTTTTTATAGTCCCAATAAACAGAAATAGCTCTCTCAAAGAGGAAAGTAACGAAACAAGGGGAGACCACTCTTGATTATTCATAAAAATCCTACCAGGATTAATCATTGTCGGCCACAACCTTAACAACATAAGATACGCAGATGACACAGTGCTGATAACAGACACGGAAAAGAAATGACAAAAGCTCCTACAAAAGGTAGCGACGGAGAGCGAGAAGAAGGGACTAAGCACAAACTATAAGACAGACAGAAAGCATGAGCCCAAAATGCGACTTACAGGTCGGGGACACTAACCATATCGAATAGGCGTCCCTATGTATAAATCTAGTTTTGAAAGATACCTTATATCCTTTGCGTGAATGTTTGCTGCCTTTGTTGGACAATTTACCTTGCCCCTTATTTTAATTAAAGTTTAATTAAACAATTGTAATGACAAAAGTACACAGGTGTAGGCTTTAAAAATGTTTTATTCAACTGAGACTACAAGGTTCGCGTATAGTGTCCTTTTATAGCCCCAGTAAACAGAAATAGCTCTCTCAAAGATGAAAGTAACGAAACAAGGGGAGACCACTTTTGATTATTCAAGGACACATGCCACAGTGGATAAAATCGTTAGTTAGATACAGTGGCAATACCTAAAGAGTCTGAGTTCAATACCTGGTTAAGGCAGTGAAGAACATTCAGAGTGGAATTAACTGAAGATAACTGACATCCATTAGACATGGTACGTGGAACTAGAACAGTCTACCTCAGTGAGTGAAATAAAGGGATCAGTTCGACATTCCACCAGAGCGTACAAGGCTGAAACGT